CAATGGTTTAAAATCAAACTTTATTCATTGCTGGGATCTCTTAAGAAGACGATGAAATAAGACCAGAAAGGAGATCAAAGACATAAATAAAAAGTATGACAGGACAGAGGACAGCCTTACACACAGAGATCCCCCCCCCCCCATCAGCGGAGCCGTTTTCAGCCAGCAGAGACAGCAGCAGCTCCATCTTCAGGCAGTTTAACACCTGATTAGCTCAGCTTTAAATCCAGTTAGTTTTCAGCATTGTGTTCAAATACAACAAAAGCAACAATAAGCAAACATAAAACATCCATATTCTGCTAAACTAACCCAGATAGAAAGAAAGAATTACTGTGAATAAACAGGTTAAAATAGGCAGCAATGCTTGAACTGCTCAGTAGTCACCATCTAATCCGAGGGAATGGCTTAAAGCATTGCTGACAGCGTAAAACAAAACATGGCTGAGCTGTGAAACAAAGGTTTTTCACAATTGATTAAAGTCATGTGGTGCCTGGTGAAGAGGGGATGAGCTTTAAATGTCACATGGTGGGAGGTGTGAAGAAATAAAACTTATCCAATGTGTGAAAACAAAAAGTGCTTTCTGCTCAGAGACAAACTTCTGGTTTTCTGTTGCTTTCCTTTCGACAAACTTTGCTCTCTCCTTCACTCCTCTCTCTTGCTTACTTCCTCTACTCGTTCTTCTTCTCCTTTTGCTTGAGCAGCTTGTTGATCTCTCTCTTGGCCATGGCTGTGTACTTGGAGATGACGCCGTGCCTGTTCAGACCCGGCAGCAGCAAAAGAAAGCTCACTGCAGAGAAATCACAACCAAAGACATTCAATTTGTTACATTTTAAAACCCTCTTTAAAAATAATCAGTCTTGATTTAAACATTTCTAATTTACCTCCTGTAAACAGGATACTACGACGGAGTATTAGAGCCAGGCTAGATATTTAAAACAATTTTTTTTTTTCGAGAATACAGTGGTAACAGTACGAGAACAAAGTCATAACATAATGAGAATAAAGTTGTAACATTATGAGAATAAAGTTGTATTGTATGACAACTCCTAGAAGAAGCACTTTCTTCCCTAAAATGAGGAACGTCGAGCATCATGTGAAGTTATATAAACGAGGAAAGGTTGCTGATTGGTGGAGCTGGTCGGCAGTCATCTGCTGGGCGGAGCTCTAAGCTTTCTTTCTGAAACGGATTGTGGTATGATGTCTTCATTCTCGCGATGCTGGCAACTTTACTCCCAAAATAAAAATAAAATA